TTTTTTTCTGAGGAGATAAAAAGGCAAACAGAGAGCGCTCTGGCGCTGGCGAGGGGACTGTTTGCCTGCCTCCGCCGAGGCCTGGCCAAGCAGACTTGGCTTCACGCCTGAGCAGTTTCTGGAGAGCGGCGCGCTGGAGAGCAGGGGAGGCAGCACCTGGCCCTGCTTTAGGAGCCATCTCCTTTTATTGACAGCCAGATAAGCAGGCGGGAGCCGTGGTGTTTCCAACGCTTCCCTGGAGGACCCTGCCGGGTTGCAGGGAACCGCAAACCCCTTAATGGCAGCGGCTCCAAACAGCGCCGCGAAACCCCTTCCTGGCAGCGCCGCCGGGGCCTCCCCCCCGGGGGCCGTCGTTACCTGCCAACGCGCGGGATTTACGCGGCTCGGCGGTGGGGGAGGTGAGGGGGGATGTGTCATCTGGGGGCCGGGACGGGACCCCCCACCACCTCCCCGACGGCGGCGGCGGGAGCCCGGCCTGCAGAAGGGGGGACCCCGTTACCCCGCAAACCCCTCTCCTCCTCCCGCCCTCCGTTAAAGCCGCCATCTAACGTTATCTGGCAGCCCCCGCCTCGGCCCGGGCGGGCGGCAGGTTCATCAAACATTTAAGTGCGGTTCAATAAAACTATCGGGGTGGGGGGACGGACACACACACACACACACACTCTCTGCTGATAAATTATTTACCCTGACAAGTGTGTGCAAATAACGGCCTCTCTCCCTCTCTAATGGCAGAGGGTGCGGGTGAGGCCGGAGAGCTCGGGCGGGATCCGCCGGGCCCGAGTCACCCGCGGGGGCTGTCTCAGCGCGGACAGGCCGCCGGGGTGGGCCCACGCGTGTCCCGGGTTCTCCTCGGCCTGTCCCCTCCGTCCCGCGGTGGGGGGTTGTCAGCATCCCACTCCCCTCGGAGAGCTGCTGGGGCGTTTCCGAGGAGCCGTGGGGCTGGGACGGGTTTGGTGGGGATGGGTTTCTTTTGACCCACGCGCGACTGTCCCCCTTCTCCCCCCCCTCCCTTTCTTGGAGGGCGTTTCACAGGGCAAACCTGCAGCCTAAACCTCGGCCTGGGACGGGCAGGGCTCCGGCTGGGGCGAACCGTCGGGCCGCAGCCGGAAAAAAAACGGCGGGCAGCGGGAAGAGGCAGCGGGAGGAGGCAGCGGGAGGAGGCAGGAGCCCTCGCCGCTGCCCCGGGGAGCCCCGACCCGCGGTCCATCCCCGGGTGGGGCCGGGCCGGTCCCGCCGTCGGGGCGGGCGGTGGCCGGTTGCTCTCGCCGTCCGCGCTCGTGTCGCCGAAAATGTCTCATTAGCTAACTACTGTCCGCCGTGACGTCACCGGGGCGGCCCAGCCAATGGGGGAGGCGCTGGCGTGGATATTAAGGGAAAGTTAGTGCAAAGGCAGCACCCCTCTTTTGCTGTCATTGACATTTAAACTGTGTGGCAGGTTCTTGCGTGGAAATTGGCGACCGGAGCCGCCAGGTACCTCCTCCCGCCCGCGACACCGCCGCGCGCGGGCCCTCCGCGCCCGCTGACAGGTAACGTCTCCCCCACACCCACCCACCCGCCCCCGGTCCTTATCCC